TGACCTATTTCTGTTCCATTAACTGATCGCTTTCTTTTTTTACCACAACAGCAACAGCTTAAGATAACTGATATTAATTAATTTTTGAAAATTTTATTAAATACGTTCCAATCTTTTTTCTTGTACCACTTACTTGAAAGAATTTTATTATTTAAACTTTGGATGAGCAATAATTAGAAGTTAAAATATTAAAAAATTTTTTTTAGTTCATACATTTTTACGTTATTAATATGTATGGTTGAGATTTTTATACTATTAGTAGTAGTAGCTATGATAATAGCTAGCAATAATGATAATAATAGTAATAGGATTAGTAGCAATAACTCAATCATTCTTAACTTTTGATTTATGATTTAAATGATAAAATGATATTAAGTTTAAATCTGGAGTATATGAATTTTGAAAGTATATGTTTGTAATCCAGGTTCACTTTTGACTACTTCTCTATACTTTCAATAATTGTATTTTTCGATATTATTGTCAAATTGATTCTCAAGCAAATTTCCATTCATCAAATTTAATGAAAATTAAATATGAAACATGCCAGCAACAACAACAGCAACAACAACCGCAACAGCTCCGTTTAGAACGGACTAAAGCGGTAATATTCCTGATGCTACTCTCATCATCATCATTCATTAATGCGCCAGCGGAAAGAAGACCGGATTCTCGTTTTGCATGGAGGAATGTATTAACATCCATCACAAATGGATCATATTTATATTTCATTGGAGTAGCATAACATATTGTTGCTGCTAAAAGAAGTGCAAGAAGCAGTTGCTGATAGCGCCATGAAAGTTTGCTGAAGCGCAAAAGTAGCATCATTTCTTTTAATGAATGCTTCTGAAAAACAAAACCAAAGACAAAAATGATGCGCAAATAATAACTAATTCAATTTCTCTTTTAAACACGCATTTCTTCTTTTTTTTTTTTGCTTTTTTATGTTTTTCTCTACTTCATTAGATAAATTTAATATTTATACACAGTTAATTCTTTTTTTCATTTTCTTTTTTCTGAACAGAACAAAGAAATAATTATTATTATTAGAGCAACAAAAAAAAAAAAAAAAAAACGAAATAAAAGAATGGAAAATAAAATGAGTAAAACTTTTGAAAGTTTTTCAAATTCAACTTTTTAAAAGCAATTTTCATTTGCAAATTTTAATTAAAATTGATGGTAAGAACAAGCAAACGTAATAGATAACAACAACTCGTTTCTTTCTTTCTCTCTTTCTTTTTCTCTCTCTTTTGCTTTATTACTACTCAATTTTTCATCTCAATCATGATAAGAAAGTACTATTAACTTCGTTTGTTACTGCATCACTTGTTTTGCAATCATGTTTACTGATTACAAATTTCAAAAATATCAAGTACGTAAGAAAAATATTTTAGACAGACATACAAATTATTATTTTTATTCCAAAAAGTAACTAATGATTTATTAATATTTCCATTCCAAAAAGTAACTGATAATTTGCTGATATTTTTATCAACGAATGAAACTACATTTATCACTAAATATTGTTACATGTTTCTATTTAAAGAGATGCATCTTTTGGCATTTTGCAAGAAAGCATTTAAAAAGAAAATTATCCTAACATAACAAAAATTGAAGTTAAAAAAAGAAACGAAAGAAAAAAAATTAAAGCATTTTTAGCACTTGCATGCTATTTTTTTTTAAATATGATGTTAAGCAGTTGGAAGTTGAAATTTGGAATTTGCTTGTTGAAAGTTTAATTCCAATTATGTTACGGAATGCAAAAGAAAAGGAAAAACTTAAAAGTAATAAAATAATACAACAACTGATACAAATTTTAATCAGCTAATATATTTTAAATTATTAGTGCTTATTTTATTTTGAAAACAATAATGATACTCAATGAAACAAGTATCATTAATGGAAACGGAAATGGAAATTAAATTGATTGAATTTAATTCAATTTAATTCATTTTAAATCTAATCTTATTAAATTTAAATGCACACATTATTTCGATATTTTTGAAAAAGAAAAAATGTCAGTTAAATTCAATTCGGAAATTAAATTTGATTGAGTGAGGAACAGGAAAAAAGTTGTCATACTTCACTTTAATAAAATTATTTTCCGAGGAGTTGTTTCAAAAATATTCAGTTTTCTGTCTAACTAAATGTGAATTGAAAAAGAAATGAATTGAAATCATTTCAACCAATTATCAAATGGTTATCATAAATTATTAGTTGGTAAATGATATTATTATTATTCATTAATTAATTATCACTTGAAAGTATGAAAGAAGTATTATTATAGAAAAAAAAAGTATCACGCAAATGATACTTTATTAGGAATGTAAAATACCAATGCTAATTCTGCGGTAAATCTTCTATTAATGTTGAGGAAATTAAATTTCGTGCAATAAAAGGAAAGAAGAAAGAGACATGAAGAAAAAAATTTTCATTTCATACCGGTATTCCATAAGGTAATCAAATAAAAAAAACAAGAAGAATATTTTAGTGTTTCTTTGAAAGGTATGAAAAAAAAAAGTTTTGGATTTTTTTAATAATTTTCTAGTACATACGTGTAGCTGCAGAATCATCTGAAATATAAATATCTTAATTATTTAATTAATTAATTAACATTATATATTTGCGATGAACAATATACAAAGTTATGTATTAAATTCATTTTAGATGAAAAATTTGAAATGAAAAAAAATTGTTTTTCTTCACTTTTTAAAAATTTTTTTGTTCCACCGTAACATTCATTTCATTAATCACAAATTGTTTGGGATAAAATGAAGGCAAAACGAAAGTTTAACTTTTTACTTAGATGAAATACTTTTGTAGCTATACGTATGTACCAGAAAATTATTTAATCATAAAAAAGTTAAAAAAGTCTTTTTCTTTAAAAAAATACATGATATCACTTCTTTTGTTTTGTTTTATTTCTGAAACCTTAGTATTTAATTGTAAAAAATAAAATGATAGAAACAGCAGAATGTTTTCTAAATTTATCGTTTAATTGCTATAAATTTCAATTAATCATCAAGGAAATTTTAAAAAGTTTCAATTAATCATTAAAATTTCTCTTTTTATTTTCATTTCTCTTATCATGTTTTCTTTTCCATTTTCTTTCTCAATTTCTCTTTTCATAAATGAATTGTCGTTTTTTCTTTTTTTTTTTTTTTTTTGTTGTTTTGGCAGAAACTTTTATTCCGTGCGAAACATTATTTTTCTACTTCATATGAAAAAAATAAAACAAAACAAACTTCTGGGCGTATAATTTTGATCTAAAACAGCAAAATGAATTTAAAAAAGTTTTAAAAAGCAAAGAAAAATTAATTCTTTGCGTTTAGACTACTCCAATTGTTTAAATAATTTTTAAATAATTCTTTCGTTATGCAATAATTCCATTGATTATTTGATAAATCCACTCAGAAACAAAAAAACACTCAACAATCATCGGAATACAACATGTATGCATATTTATCAGTATTATCAATTATTTAACAATGATAAATATGCATCTTTTACTCACAGGTAATTCACTTAAACTTATGCGCTGAACATTTAAGCTTAAACCTTACCATCTCAACTTATCACTGAAATTTATCCATTTAACAACTTTCTCAGCTAGTATAGTTTGCTGGAAATCTTAGTTACAATTTTTACTTATATATTTCGGTTAAAATTTCAGTCATATTCTTAAGGTCCGATGTGGAAGAATTAAAATGATAACTGTCACAATCTTACGAAATGTCTTCGCTCCATTGTAATTGTTTATTCATAACAGTTCATTTAAACTCAACATAATTCTCTCATCCAAATTTAAATGCAATTTATGGGACAGAAGTAAAATCTGTTCGAAGATATTTTCGAAAAAAAATAATTTGTAAAAGATACAATGAATACAAAAGTTCATTTTTAAGTTTATTTTTGTGTTAACAAAAGGAACAAACGTTGATATTAAAAAAAAAATAATAAAAATGGGAAATTAAGTTTACAATTGCTCAGTGTAACAAAATCAGTCCGAGTTTATAGCTAATTGACAGTTTTTTTAATTTGACAGGTTTGAGTAATGCTAATGTGACAGGTATACACACATACATACACATATATATATATATATATATATATATATATATATATATATATATATACATGCAAAGATCAACAGAAACATACCAGTCATTCTTTAAAACACAAAACTTTTCCCCAACTTGCCATTACTGTCAACATTCGATGTTAAATTAACTTTTAATATCTATTTTTATTGATAAATTATGTCACCCAGATATGTCGCGTAAAATAAAAACGCACCACATACCGTCTTTCTTTTTTTTTTTTGGGGAGCTTTATTCGAAAACCATACGATTGTAATACTTTTTATTTAAATTCAATGAAAAAAAAACATATAAAATCCAATGAAAAAAAAAAAAGCCATCGTAATTACCAAAAAGAATCCAAATTAAAATATAAGTTGCAAAAAAGAACATAAAGAACGGGAAGCATTACAAGATTCTGCTTATGTTTTTGCAAAAATAAACATCTTTTTTCAATCATATTAAAATTTTTAAATAGGGAAAAGACACAAAAAGTTCTAAAAGCACACTTTCGAGAAGTTTTATTACTATATTTTTTCCAATACATATCAATACAACAGTAAGAAAACACAGTTAGTAATTTTCAAAACTTTTATTGTTTTCAGCCATAACCGTAAATCTTCACCTATAAACTGAAAAAAAAAAAATGCTTCAGGGAAAAAAGAAAACTCATACTTCAAACCTCGTACATTTATCCTAGGAATAAATAATTGGAAGCAAAGACTTGTCGACTTACAGCATTTAGTTATTAGTTGGTTTTTTGGACACAACTAACAACCTAAAAATACAACATTGGACGAGAATTAAAAACAAATACATATCACAAAAATAAAGTTCGGGAATATTGGAACCACTGGGCACTTGCAAAATTAATATATTCTTTAGTTGAAATCCCATGAAATTTCTTACCAATCAGCAATAACATTATTTCTTAATCAATATTTCCTATAAATGATTTCGAGATTATTCTAAGATAAAGATTAAAAAAAAAAAAAATACAGCAAAAACTTTAGAAGTCCAAAACATTAGATCAGAGAAAATTTATAAATGTCATTTATCAAATGTGCTTTTCAGAACTTTGTTTAACAATATGAAATATTTTTAGTATGGAAGTTTCAGTATTTACCAATCTTTTCACATACAATTAATATTTTAGTGCTTTTACTAACCTCACCATTCGGTAACGGTGCAATAAGTATTTCTGCACTACAATAATCTCTCACAATTTCTCGCCATGTCTTCCGATAATTCTGATCTTCTGCTGGATTTAGTGGAGTACCGTAAAATGAGCCAACAAGTTGCGGTAATGCTGAGAGCTAAAATACACGTGAGAGTTTCTCTTTTTCTTTTCCTTTCTACATCCTACACAATCATACAATATTTCGAGCACTCAAAACATTCAAACACTAGCACTGTGATTTTTAATAAGACAACTTCAGAAGTTAAACAGTTTATAATGAAAATAATTTTATAATAAAAAGTCTATAATAAAAATAAATAAATTTTGCTAAAACTTTACACAGCGCAGCACTAATGTACTTAACTTAAAAAAAAAAAAAAAGAAAAACCTCTTAGAAATTCCGTAAACTCAAACAATTAAGTACAACCAACTAAGAGAAAATAAGATTATAGAAATTACAAAAAATCGAACCAAAACTGGATTTGGAGATCGTATATCCAACAGTAATTTTATCACTTTCACTAGTTTTTGTAGTGGGTTCCTGCTCTGAAAAGTATTAGAAATTAAGAACTTGCAAATCGGTTAGAAAAATTATTGAAATAAAATAAGGAAATCCATTAGAGTCAGAAAAAAAAAAGACCATTCCATGTTTTGGTATATAATAAATGAGTTAAAGCACTAAATTAATTTATGATTCTGCCTAAAATCCTTAAAATTGTGTGAAGTTTGCATGCAAATATATTTATGCGGTCGCAGTAATTAGATTACTTTGAACTTCAAAATACAGTTTCGAGAATCTCAAACAGCTCTAGATCTATTTCAAAAATGAAAACATTATACTAAGCCAAATTCTCCTAATTGATTTAGTTTATAAACTACAAGCTGAAATAATTATTACCGAATTATAACATCCCAATTCATCAAATAAGTTTTCCAACCAGTCTTCATCAGTTTGTGTTTGTTTTGACAACTACAACAACTTGATTATCAATTAGCAAATTACAGGGGATTTATTATAATCTGAGGATTTATCACGAAACTGAAATTAAATATAAAAATAAGAAGATTTAGAAATTAATCCCGATGAGGAGAACGATATCAATAAGCACAATTTAAGTAATAATTTGTAACTAATTTATAGCGGGATGAAAAAAAAGTTCATGTTAATAACTGGACCTGTGAAACTTCTTTATTAGGAAGATGAGAAAAAAACTTGTTCGATGGAATGCTTCTCAACACTGTACAATCGTCAGAATAACCCCGATCATATCTAAAAATACAAATTTAATTTTAATTTAATTTAAAAGATCAACATATCCAAAAATCATATTTTAAACCTTTAGTTACAGCATGATCTGGAATGCACTTTTCTTACTAAATTTATATTTAATAAACATGAAACGACATACTCCTGAAATCGACTCTGTGTATCAGGTTGCATTTGTTGCACAGATGTTGTCCAACTATTTTGGTCCGAATGATCTGTTTTATAATTAAACTTATGATTAATACTTCTAACGAAAGACAAAACTTCTTATAAAGATTAAAATAAATATAACAATATCAGTAGAAGGCATTTTGATTAATTCATTCACTCATGCCACTTATCTCCAGATATAACAATATCACTAGAAGACATTTTTATTAATTCGTGCCATTTCTCTACCAATATAACAATATCACAAGAAGATATTTTGATTAATTCATTAACTCATACCATTTTTCTACAGATCACTAGAAGACATTTTTAATTCATTAACTCATGTCGCGAATTATAATTTCGCGAAAACTTCTAACTAATTTCATACTATCATAAATCATCTCTTCTTTTCGTTGTAAACATTTCCAATTCTTTACACATATACTTTTTTTGTAAAATTAAAGTTAGCTTTCATTTTAATCTTTTCGTTGTAAACACTTTCAATTCTTTACACATATGATTTTTATCCTAGACACGCCAATCCTCACTCATATAAATTCAATTCTAACAATCATGAAGATCATTGTGGACTACTAATCTGTTAACCAATATCAATTCCTCCGGTCTTCTCTTTTATTATAAATTTCCTCTCTTTTTTATTCCTCGATTTTATTCATATTACATTTTCAAAAAATAAAGGTTTATTAATCTTCCTACTGTATTGCAACAATTCGAATATCAACGACAACTCACACACCATTTCTACCGATAAAACAATATCATTAGAAGACATTGTGATTTATTCATTAACTCATACCATTTCTCTACCGATAAAACAATATCATTAGAAGACATTGTGATTTATTCATTAACTCATACCATTTCTCTACCGATAAAACAATATCATTAGAAGACATTGTGATTTATTCATTAACTCATACCATTTCTCTACCGATAAAACAATATCATTAGAAGACATTGTGATTTATTCATTAACTCATACCATTTCTCTACCGATAAAACAATATCATTAGAAGACATTGTGATTTATTCATTAACTAATACCATTTCTCTACCGATAAAACAATATCATTAGAAGACATTGTGATTTATTCATTAACTCATACCATTTCTCTACTGATAAAACAATATCATTAGAAGACATTTTGATTAATTCATTAACTCATATCGTTTCTCTACCGATAAAACAATATCATTAGAAGACATTGTGATTTATTCATTAACTCATACCATTTCTCTACCGATAAAACAATATCATTAGAAGACATTGTGATTTATTCATTAACTCATACCATTTCTCTACCGATAAAACAATATCATTAGAAGACATTGTGATTTATTCATTAACTAATACCATTTCTCTACCGATAAAACAATATCATTAGAAGACATTGTGATTTATTCATTAACTCATACCATTTCTCTACTGATAAAACAATATCATTAGAAGACATTTTGATTAATTCATTAACTCATATCGTTTCTCTACCGATAAAACAATATCATTAGAAGACATTGTGATTTATTCATTAACTCATACCATTTCTCTACCGATAAAACAATATCATTAGAAGACATTGTGATTTATTCATTAACTCATACCATTTCTCTACTGATAAAACAATATCATTAGAAGACATTTTGATTAATTCATTAACTCATATCGTTTCTCTACCGATAAAACAATATCATTAGAAGACATTGTGATTTATTCATTAACTAATACCATTTCTCTACCGATAAAACAATATCATTAGAAGACATTGTGATTTATTCATTAACTCATACCATTTCTCTACCGATAAAACAATATCATTAGAAGACATTGTGATTTATTCATTAACTCATACCATTTCTCTACTGATAAAACAATATCACTAGAAGACATTTTGATTAATTCATTAACTCATATCGTTTCTCTACAGATACAACAATATCACTAGAAAATATTTTGATTAATTCATACTATTTCTCTACTAATATAATAGATTAATTCATACCATTTCTATCCAAATATAACAATATCTATAAAGGACATTTTGGCATGCATGTGTATGCGTGCGTGTGCTTATGTCCATGTGTGTATACGTGTCGTGAATGTTTTGCGTGTGTTTATGTGTGCACACGCGTGCGCATATCTATGCAAGTGTGTGGGTGAGTTGAGTGAGTGACTTTTTCTCAGTGACTTTTCTTTGTTATATTTTGTATGAATATGCTAAGAGTGACATATTTTAACTGCATAAATCATTGCTGTAATTGCATCCGCATCCGTACACTGCATACTGCATCTTGCACGCTGTATGTCTTTGATACAGAATCATCTTAAGATGAAGATTTCATGTTCTTGGTGTATATGGTAATACTCATCAGTCATGTTACTTCTTTTTTGCTGTTTTGTGTGACACGACATGATTCTGATGATTTATTGAAGATTGTGCAAAACTCTTTTGGCCTCATTCATATAATTTGCGCTGTTATTTGTCACTCTTGGTCAAATGTTTGTAGGCAGGTGTTTCAAGTTTGATTATTTAGTGTTCACTCTTTTTTTTTTTTGATGCGTGACGTCAATCATTTTACCTCATTTATTGACAGACATTTTTAGGTCACAAAGTTCCAAAAGATCAGTGAGAAAGTGAGATGAAAGATATTGCCTTACACTTTTGCTTCATTGTACAGTATGCCGATGTCAGTGCAAGATCACAACAAATGTCGTGTAGCTTATTACTATGATGGCATGAAACATTTTATTTATTTTCAATTTTCCAAAAATTTGAGAATCAGTTTTGAAGCTAATTTGCAGAAGTTTCTCTTGTATTCCTCATTGCTTTCTGATCGATAACATCCAAAAATTTTTTTGAATGTGGATAAAAACAATATTGCAAAAGTAATTGTTTGATAATTTTATCGTTAACAGTAGCACATCAGTTTTATATCGCTTTCAACGCTGATACTAGTTTATGATGGATTACTGATTAGTTTTTGAAAACTACGTAATTACATGATATGTGATAATTTGAATTCACTCGAAGCTTCATTTGAAGAGTATACTTGAATTTTTTAAAATGATTTAGAGATAGAATTATTTATATTATTGTAACATACGTTGGGAATTATTACTACGGACAAGGTCATGTAATGAAGCTTCATCGTATTCGAATGACTCATCATCTCTTGCTCTATAGGAATCTGGAAGTTTATGTATGCTTGATCTTTTTTTAGTAAACCGACAATGTTACTAATAAGATCAAGAACATATACAAATTTAACTTCTCTTACGGTGATGTTGAAATTGCCAGATTATTGGAATCCGACCTATAAGTGATTTAAAAATATGGAATTAAATTTGCTTACATGAGTTTCGGGGTTGTTGTAGCAGTGCATGTTTGCTTCTGTTCCCAGCAACATTCGAAGAGATGACGCGATTTCACATAAATGAATACATGATGTTTTTGCGAACGGCTGCACCAAATAATTTGAAACAATTCAACAAACAAATGTTAAAATGTAAATAGCTATTTTATTTTTTTTTTCTTTTTATTTATTTACATTGCTTTGAAGTTCTTTTTCTAATAGGGAACTTTGTAGTGTTAGAATTAGTGCTTGAAAATCAATTTTAGTTAATATATACTGTATAAGGAATATTCGTTCTTTTAACCAGTTGTTTTTCAGTTAACGTCGGTGAAGATTGTTCAGTTTTTGATGCATTATTTGAATTTTGCCAGATCTCATGTGGTGGTTCTTTAGGTATGTCAAAAAAAGTGCTAATCAAAAATAATGATGATATATAGGTTCAGAAATTGATTCTTTCTTTTTCTGTACTGCCTTAATGTTCACTCTGTTATCTCTATTTACTATTGATAATGCTATTCTACAAGCATTTTTCAATTTTGTCATGTTGCTTCACAATTTTCTGATTAATATTTATTAGTCTGTTTAGGCGAATCAAAAGCTACTTACTAGTCAGAAAAAGATACTGGTCGGAATTTATCATTTTATATGCTGCAAATTGCTATAGCATAACTACTGAAATATACAAACAATTTATTTTAGAGTGCTTCACGTTGATATTGATGTACATCATGGTGATGGTGTTGAGGAGGCTTTTTCTATACTACGGATCGGGTAATGACATGTTCTTTTCATAAATATGGTAATTTTTCCCTGGGAACAGGAGGACTGAAAGATACTGGTGCTGGAAGAGGAAAATATTATGCAGTTAATGTACCTTTGAGAGATGGTATCACTGATGAGTCATATCAAAGCATTTTGTTCCGGTAAATTTTTATATCAAAAGATAATGCAACATACATTGCCTTTTTGTTCGGGATATAAAATGAAGCTTTTCTGTTTGTCAACCCAGATCAAACAAAAATCGTGGCAGACATAGCTGTTTTGAAATTGATTTATCTGTTTTCGAGAGTCATAGATTTGATGAGTTAGTTATGACCATTTTTAATTTTCCACTTGTTTAGAGTTAATGTTGCATGTTACAGATCATGGAAAGAGTTATGGAAACATTCCAACTATGTGCTGTAGTTCTGCAAAATGGAGCTGATTCTTTGAACGATGATCGCTTAGGCACCTTCAATCTTACTTTGAGAGGTAATATATACATTTTTTTTTCTTGAAGCATGAAATTCTTACTAATATTCGCTTCATTTCTCCTGAATTTCTAGCTATCTCGATAAAACAGAAACAATATTATTTTTTTTTTCACCCACAACACATTTCGATTTGAACTGTCTATTCAGGTCATGTGCTTGTGCCAGATTTTTCCGGGAACGACATATTCCTCTGAGATGTTAGGTGGTTACACACCTAGAAATGTGGCTCGATGCTGGACTTACGAGACTTCAATTGCCATTGATATGGAAGTCTCTAACGGTATATTTGTATTTAATTATCAGAGTTTTTGAAATGTTATCCAGATTTCTTAAAACCTACTGTGTTGAAGCAATGGATTTGATTACAATGGACCGATTGAAGTAGCTTTGCAGATCTTCCATACAACTATTACTTCGAATCTTTTGGACCGCATTATCGACTTCACATTGATCCCTCAAATGCTAATAATGAGAATACTCCAGAATTTTTGAGGAAGATTCAGTAAGTTCGAAGTAACGAAGAATATTATGGAACATTTCTGCACTGCTTTGAACAGAATGTTTTTTTGGAAGTTCTGAAAGATAATTCTGCAAAATTTGAGCTTGGCTCATCTTTATATACTAAAAAAAATATTTAAGAGGAGTGATGGAGAGAACTTACGACATTTACCGCATGTGCTAGGTGTGCAAATGCAGTCGGTCGGCGATGAATCTTTTACCACAAGATGCCTTAATGTCGAAGAAGGTGATCGTGACAATGCAAATCCGGATGTCCGACTACATCGTAAGGGTTAAATATCCGTGTAGTGTAACGATTACATTTTATAGTAAACGATGATTTCTAGAATTTATTTCATATACTATGATGGATGCTTCTACTGAAGACCAGCGAATTCTATGGTAATGAGAAAGAAGAAGGTGATATACGAAATGAATAGTCTTTCAAACGTTGCGGATCGGAAACTGAGATTGGTAATGCTGAAACAGCAAAGAAGCCAAAAATGGAGGTATTGTCGCGGATTTTAATATCGCGATCTAAAAATATGAGTTGCAAATTGTAGTAAAGATATCTACGTAATTTCCGCAAATAATGCTTATACTTCGGACTCTTTGTTTCCAAATTTATGCTTCTACATATTGAAACAATTTACATCGTTCTTTGTTAGCAATCCTTACAATCATGAGGATATCTACATTGTTCTTTGTTAGCAATCCTTACAATCATGAGGATATCTACATTGTTCTTTGTTAGCTATCATAATCATGCGGTTATCTAATAAGCTCTTTATTAGCAACTGGTGCCCATGCAAGCACCTCCTCTCCTTTGTTTGGATCATTGTCTAACATCAATGTAGATTTTATAACCATACTATTGTCAATTAGATCAGTTTTAAAAATCATCCAATCCTCCGAAGCAGTTTATTCAATTGTTGCCCAAATATTTAGCTGGCATCCAACACATCTCCCTGACATCAAACTTCTCCCCCGAATAACAATTTAACCAAATCATAAAGGTTTGTTTCCAAAAACATTTTTTTGCTTCCACTACAATTTTGGTGCCACGAGCCGGGACATGTCCGACAGTATAAGAAAAGGAAGCGAATTATCGAAGTCGAGAACTCTAGAACTTCTTAAAGAAGCAAGTGAACTCGATCTGACCTCCCCGTCTCAAACACTATCACGAGGGGAACTTCAGCATCAATACGAAATTAAATTGCGAATCGTCAAGGAGAAGATCGCACATCTCGAATATTATGCTGGGTTACTCGAAACAGCTAATCAAAATTGGCTGGATAATATTCAGAGCTTGACAATAGCAACGAGGAGAAAGGAAGAGGAGACGAAATACGCCAATATGGTTGACGATCCACAAGGTATTTTAAGTTTAATCACTAGAACAAGAGAAACTATTATTACCCTTAAAATACATACTGATGAATATTGCTCGGTACTACAACATTTAAAACAAGAAGAGGTCAAAGAATCATTTCCAAAGAATAGTATGATTCACACAAATCAAGCAGAAATAAAACTTCCTCAATTACCACTAATAACGTTTAGTGGGGATCCAAAATTGTGGAGGCAATTTTGGTGTAGTTTCAAGGCAGCAGTCCATGAGCAAAGCATCCCAGATATTCAAAAGTTAAACTATCTGATATCATGTCTTAAAGGAGATGCTTTGTTATCTGTAAGAGGTTATGATATAGCGCCAGAAAACTACGATGTTATAATAGGTTTACTAAAAGAGAAATATGGTAAACCTTTCCTTATAAAGAAATCACTCTACAACGAGTTGAATACCATCAAAAAAATGACCGAGAGTGGAAAGCAACCATAGAAGCCATGGAGAGAACATTTCGACAACTGGAAGCTATAGGTGAAAATTTAGAGCATTCAAGCATCGAAATTACAATTGAAAATAAACTACCAGCGTGGATAATTGATAAATTATACCAATTGAAAGAGGATTCGACGAGTTGGTCAGTTAAGGATATCCGGCAGTACCTGACAAAACTAGTTCTAAGAAATGAAGAAGTTGCTAGAAGTCAAGCAGACACAAGGGAGAAGAAAACAAACAAAAATAATGTTAGAGGCGAAACGTCAGCTTTCGCCACAATCAACCAAACAAAGGGAGATAATACAATCAAATCAAAAAAGGTTCCAGGAAAAATTTCTATAAATGGGAAAAGGAAACCATGCGTATTTTGCAATAAGGACCACTGGAACAATGAATGTAACATCTATCCCACTCTCAAACTCCGGATGGAACGTTTGAGAGAAATCACTGCATGTTTCAAATGTTTACGAAAAGGACATGCAACAAGTGATTGTAAAAAAGGGAAACCTTTGTGTTTCCATTGTAAAAGTCCACACAATACAGCACTGTGTCCCAACAACTACAAGGAACTCACGCAAGCAGTGGATTCCAACAAAGAAAGGTTGGGTTCAGTCACAATCGCTAACTCCATTACCGAAAAAGGAAATCAATGGAAAAAGCGAACCTTACTGTTATGTAAGGAAATAAATGTAACCAATCCAAATCGCCCAAAAATCCAACAAAAGGCTTTAATTCTATTCGATATTGGTTCTCAATTATCGTTCATATCAAAGGATTTGGCTTATCGATTGAATCTACAAGAAACTAACGAGATGGAAATAAAAATTGCTTCATTTGGTGATAAGACGCCAAAAACGTGTATCACTACTAAAACTGAAATCGGAGTAAAAATTGGAAATAAAGAAATAATCCGATTAGATGTAATAACAGTTAACCACTTGACGAATGAATTGCAAGTAGTTAATCTAAACAAAAAGGAATTGTTGATGATAGACAAACGAAATCAGTTTAGTAATTTCAAAAACAAATGGAAACAACCGGACATACTCATAGGTGCGGATCACTTCTTCAAGTTTATCCAGTTTGACCAAGCAGAGAACTTAAAATCAGGATTTTCATTGATCCATACAAAGGTTGGACCTATAATAGCTGGAAGTGGGTATATAAATGAAATACACGACAGTATTTCAGAAACCACATCAGTAAGTCCGATTTCTCAAGTCAATGCCGTCAATATTCCAGACTTAGATCACTTTTGGAAACTGGAAATAATGGGTATACAAGACAAAATAAACTCTGACAATGATGAAAAAGCATTGCAGCAATTTAAACAAACTATCACTAGGGACAAGGGAAGATATCAAGTTTGTTGGCCTTGGAAAGATTCAAAGAACAAACTAAGCGATAATTTCGGACTTTGCCTTGGAAGATTAAAGTCGTTAATTAGGAGGCTTCAAATGAAACCTCAATTACTAAGTCGATACAATCAAACTATTGAAGAACAACTCAATTCCAATATAATTGAGAAAGTGTCATCGGAAATGAATGAAGTTGGTATTATTCATTATCTGCCTCATCACGAAGTAATAACACCAAATAAAACCACGACAAATCTGAGGATAGTTTATGATGCATCAGCTCATTGTAAAGGAATGAAAAGTTTAAATGATGTTTTATATCGGGGACCAATAACACTCCCTGATTTGGTTGGAGTTTTGCTACGTTTCCGTACAATGAAAAATGTAATAATAGCAGACGTAGAAAAGGCGTTCTTGCAAATAGAATTGCATCCAACAGATAGAAACTGCACTCGATTTCTTTGGTTGAAAGACATTCGAAGTCCAGTTAACGAAGAAAACGTAAGTTGTTACCGTTTCCAACGAGTTCCATTTGGAATTGTATCATCTCCATTTTTATTGTCCGCTACACTCAATTATCATTTGGAAACTTGTAAAAGCAAAATCGCACTCGAGTTAAGGAAAAATCTCTATGTCGATAACATTATAATACCAACCAAAGGAACCAACGAAGCTCTTTCCAATTATAAGGAAATTAAAATTATATTCAATGAAGCATCAATGAATGTACGGGAATTTCTCTCTAACGACCAAGAAGTCAATGAAAAACTTCCGGTACAAGATCGAGCAGAGGTAAGTTCAATTAAAAAATTCTAGGTCTCAATTGGTACCACAAACAAGATATCATTCAAGTAACGTTAAAACCATGGTTTGGTAAGAAATTAACTAAAAGAATTGTATTGCAATTCGTAGCCTCACAATATGACCCACTAGGATTCATAGTTCCTATACTGATAAGATTCAAATTGTTTCTCCAAACTTTGTGGAAAAAGAACCTTTCATGGGATCAAACTATAAGTGAGGAAGATGAAACCACGTGGAAATTACTCACGAACGAATGGCCAAAGAAACTAAAGGATCTACCAAGATTCACAACAAATTGTTCCAAGCAAGTACAATTTCATGTTTTTACTGACGCATCAACTGCTGCATACTCAGCAGCTTTATACATTCGAACTCAAGAAAGAAGTATTCTTAGTGTTTGCTAAATCCCGAATTGCGCCAATTAAAGGAATGTCAATACCTCGATTAGAATTACTGGCAATACTCATCGGAGTGAGAATGGTACAATTCGTATTAAAACAAAAAGAGCTTGAGGACGTGATAACAATTTTATGGTCCGATTCTCAATGTGCGCTTCATTGGGTTCACAATAGTTCCCGTTTACTACCAACGTTCATACAAAATAGGGTAGAAGAAATACGAAAGGCGAAAATCCATTTTAGATATATCCCAAGTGAACAAAACCCAGCTGATATAGCTACAAAAGGAATCTCTCCGAATAAACTAAAAGGATATGATCTTTGGTGGAAAGGACCAAAGTGGTTAACAGAAAATGAATCAAAATGGCCACAGTGGAAATACAATTACAATGAGGATTACCAGGATGAAGAAATTGTGGCCCACATCACAGAACCAATTATCATAAACAAACATTTCGGAATCTTAGATGCTAGTCGTTTTAGCAAATGGTCAAGATTAATAAGAACAACTGGTTGGGTTCTGAAATTCATAAGATTAACAATGAAAAGGGAAATTCCTTGGCTAAAGATGGCAACGAAAGAAAAGAATATATTGACAACACAGGATTACGAGTTGTCAGAAATTGTGCTATTCAAACAAGCACAGTCAGAAGGAGTTACCAAAGATGAAATAATCAAATGGAATTTGTTCTATGATAACGAACTATGGAGATACAAAAGCCGCGTAGTTAACTCTGAAATGAAAGAGAGTAACTTACACCCAATATATCTCCCGAGACACAACACCATAACTGAACTCTTTATTCAGCAACGACATGAACAACTGTATCATGCTGGAATTGCTCATACACTCTCAAATCTGAGATCGACGATATGGATCCCAAAAGGTAGAACGGA